AGAACGGCGAACTGTGATTGGTCGGTCGACGGTAGCCCCCAGTCTTTCCGCGTTGCACAGTACTTTATGGGGCCTCGCTTAAGCGTCTGATACAATGGGACGAAGCAGAATGTAATGAACACGGCGCAAAATGTCATTTATTAATTGAAACCGGATCCCCGGTTACGGAGAGTAGCCGGCTCCGAATTTTTATTTTTATTTATTTATTTATTTATTTTTTGTTTTAAATTGTGTTCGCGCGCATCTCCTCCGACGGTGTTTAAATAATGTAGCCTAAAATATAAATAGCCAGAACCGTAGACGGATGTAGCGGGCAACTGTGAGTATTGTTCTGTCTTTCGAAGGACACTGTCTACCTCGGGGCTTAGGGTTAGATTACAGGGATATCGTTGGTACGGGTCAAGACCACACCCTGTCAGGGTCACGTTGGTTTCCGGAACCTGACTGGCAAGGTAGTCACGTCTACCTGGGCGACCGTCGTCGGTAAGAACTCTCTTGGCCGGCCGACTGTCCAGCATATTTTCCAACTTACTGTATAAATCGTAACAATAATAACCAGTTAGTCCATTAACCTTTCTCCAAAATACGTTAAGATCTGGTTTCTGGTGACTCCGTTTTGACTAATCGTTCGCAGCAATTAACGTCGAAATCGTAAATTTTTTTTTTTACCCTTCATTTTCTCCCATTTTATTATTATTCGTGGTGTGACGTTTAATCAAATCTGTTATCGTTTTCGCGAGATCTAACCCAAGCTTTAAATTCGGGAGTAAATTTAACAGGTGTTTCGTAGTGTCCTCAGCAACATTTAGAGACTATTATAAATTTACAGTGTGTTAAAGTTTTTTTTTTTTCCTACTAGCGCATGCTGCCTGTTTTTGTCAACGTCGACTGTTATTGCTAGAAGTATACAGATAGATACGTAAATATCAATATTTATAATGTAAAATACACGAGCGTAGTGTTAAATTTAGCGTGCGACAGAAGAAGATCCCCTCAAGTTATTGCCGATTTTAAATTTTCGTCTTATACAGTAAAACCTGTCGAAAGCGAAAAAAAAAGATATTCGGTGCCTTGCGATTTCGGTTTACACAGGTTTTACTGTATTAATTAGGCCTAACAATATTTAAATGAACAACACGTTACAGTTTCAGTTCCTTTATTATTTATTTCGTAATTACATTTTTAAAGTAATTTTTTTACGACGTTACCTTATCTTCAAATTAACTTTTAATACTTGATTTGCTCCTTTCTACAAGAAATTGTTTTATCGAAAAATCTGATTGTCGTAATTTAAAATGCCGAACAAATAAATTTTCCTTTTAAATGCCGAGATTTTGGATAATTCATTTTTTTTCGATAAAACAGGAAACATCAGTCCTGTGCTGTCGGTTGTTAGCTGTCAATTATAAGCATCTCTTTTTAATGCCTATAAAATTGTTCGACTCTTTCATATTAATTACTATTATCATCTTTGCCTTAAGCATATTTCTGGTGCAGAGATCACGAATGTTTTCGTGTTCATGATTGAAAAAGTTTGACTGTTCACGTCTGGAGGCAATGAAGAAGCTGGTTCAAATCTTGATTGACAAATTACCATTATCTCCATTCTTGCTTGTATAAGACCCTACTGACTGATATATGTTGTTTTTGTTAGAAAATTAAAAAAAAAAAAGTTTAGGCAGGTTTTTCTAAGATAACAAATAAAATGAACCGATTTTTGAGAGATAGAAAATACTTTAAACCTTCCGTTCGATCCAATTAACTCGAATATTTTATGCAAAACTTTTTGTGTGGTTCTGTCGGGAAGAGTTTTAAGTTTCTTTAGTAAATTATATTACGTCTTCATCATTTAATATAAAAAATTTAACTTAAATAGAATTTAAAAACATTATCCTGTTCAGCATCTTGTGGAATGCACGTGTTGAATGTATATAAAGTAGTATTTATTTTGATGTGTTTAATAATGAAGAAATTACATTTTAAATAATTCATTTCTTATTGTATCTGTTCGTTTAATCTCTGGTAAATAGAGGGGGGAAATCTTGTGTGTTTAATAATTAATATTATAAATTGCCGAATATTGTTTTGTCTTTAATATTCGACATTATCACAAAAGCAACAAATGCTGTTTAATTATTCAAGAATAAGCGATTGTTTGCTTTTTATTCCGGCGAAAATATTGTTATAAACATACTTCTAAACGTACTCTTTCTTTATAAATTCTAATTGTTCGTGTAAAGTTTGAACATGTCTGTCCGTAGCGAGAATTTCGATGGTTTCTCAATCGATAGCGAATCATCGACTGTAAATTTGAATACCTTATTTTTGCAATTTACGATTGCTTTTACGTATAGATTACAATTAATTTAAATGTATTTAATAAAATATTTGTTTTAATTTTATAAAATATCACATAATTGTATAATTTTAAGCGTACATTTGATGTATTGAAGACCCTCGAGAGGTTAGAGCTGGGGGATTTTTTTCCGGACGGAGAAAATTTAGAAGTATCCCTTAGTAGTTTCTACCCGTAAAAATTCAATGTTATTTTCACTAACAGAAAATAAAATATTTTTTATTAATAAAAATAAAATTCTACGTATTTCATTTGTTCAAAAATGGGGGCCCGCTCCATTCCTAGGGCCCATACCAAACTTTCAAAGGCCTTGGATATTTTACGCGATATTCGGTCACTTTGAAGTACATTCAACAAATAACTTTATTATAGTTCAATAAATAATAAATGACAAAAGATTTTTAAAAATGTAGCTGTTTTTTTTTCTTAATATTTTATAGATTTATTATCTGGATAACTGTTTTTAATAAAAAGTTGTTTATGAGCTTTAATGTAGAAATTGTATACTGATTATTTACGAGTTAAAAAAACGCTATTAACAAGTTTTATATCAAAATACATTATCGAATATATTAATAATGAATATGTTTGTGGTAAATGTCATCAAAATTCTAATCCGGTTCTAATGAGCACTGTTTAAAATAGTAAAGAATGAAATTACATAGGTAACTGATTTAAAATAAGATCTATTTGTTTCTATTCTTAGTTAAAGCATGTATAGGCGTCCTCAGAGAGGGCAAACGGTACACTTGCTCCTCCTTGGGATCGAGTAAAAAATTCCAATAATTTTATAATCGTAAAAGTGATTGGGATATGTAACCTTACACCTTCGACCATGGGACACTTTGTCTGTTTGTTTAGTTATGGCAACGCAACACTTGGGCGATCTGCCTAGGGGGGCGGTCTTTTTAAGGGAAACTGGCCCCTATTTACGTAGAGAAAACCCGGAAAACTCCACGTGTCCAGCCCGTCCGAGCGAGACGCGAACCCACGACCGAACTCTTAGTGTGTTAGACCGCTTTGGCCACTGGTGGGCCACTTTATCTTTTTGTATTGATGCAACACTGTGTTCTATAATGTACTTGTGAAAAAATCCCAAAAATTAAACCCTCCCTGTAGTTATTTCTCTCCAAGTTTTGCTCCCCCCTGTAAAATTTTCTGCGAACACTCATGAATGCATGTATATTCAATTTTTATCGTAATATATCAGCTTTTGATCTAGTTGATTGACAATCCCTCATTATATTTAAATATTTTTTTAATAAAACGTGTTTTAAATTGTTTAAAAACAATACCCTATTCACACGTCACAATGTAAACTTGTAATATAGTGATACAGCATCGATAATGGTTTTGTTAATGTTAATATGTATATTATTAATTTAATAATGAATATATTTATAACAAATTATTATTGTCAGGAATTCACTTTAAACATTTCATAATGAAATTCATATCAACGATTTGTAAACTACTTTCCTTTGTGTTTAATGGGTTTTTCTTACATCCATTATTAATTAATTGAAAAATATTGAAACAAATTTATTACATTAATTTTAACATTTTATAGTCAAACCCAAGATTAATTTAATCATAATTTAATCATGAACTTTAGTTCTCATGTACCTTTATAATTCTAATTAATATTAATGATGATTATTTTGTTATTTTACACACGAATTATCCAAGTTTTAACATTAGATTATATCTTTTGAAAAAGCAGTTAGCATTGTTTAAGCTTTGCTTTAATAATTAAATTATTATTATTATTATTATTAATGTTAATTCCAAACATTAATAATAATTTAATTATGCTGTTCGTTTCGTATTATACATTGTGTTAATAAATGAATAGAAAATGTCTGTATATATGTTGAAATGCATAATTAAATAGTGTTTGGGTGTACGTAAGATATATAAATTTGCATAAAATTTAATTTGTCTCGTTGCTAACTTATTTAGAATTCTAGAGAAAGTCTTTGAAATAGCTTTTCATTACATTAAACGAATTATATAATAAAGACTGTCAAATTAATTGGAGAATATAAAATTTCCTTCTGTGTAACTTGTAATATAATAAGCACTGTAAATTAGCATACCGTGTGTTATAATTAGTGATAAATTTCGAGTTTTTAAAGATGTTTTAATGAAGTCTGATATTTATTAAGACGAGTATTTTTTTGTGGCATTTTTGCTGATTATTGCAAATTATCACCCCCCAAAAAAAAGAGACAACAGTTTTTTTTTTAACTATCGACACTCGCAGACTTGATTCTTAATAGTAAAGCCTACAATTTAGACAGCTTGACGTCGAATATAAACAGGCGTTCTGAATGGAATTCATCTTTTCAATTGGATAAAAGAAAGGGAAATTAGATAAAGAAATCTATCGTTAACAAAAAGATAGATTTCTCTCTATCCGAACAAGCTTCTCGTCCGGTCTATCTAGTCTTTGCTAGTTTTGTTACTGATAAACCGACGGGCGTGCAACCGTAACGCTGGAATGGCGTAAGAACATTAAGTGTCGACATTTTCTCTTTATCTTATCGTTTGTGACGAGCAGGTATGTCGAACCGGTCCGATAAACCCCGCCGAAGTCTACGAAACGGTAGACTTATTTCATTCATTTTGTTTCTCCTTTCAGGATGCTTGCAGAATATGCGAGAAGTTTATGGCCCGAGATCCCAGTAACGTTAACTTTTCCGTTGTGGCCCTGACGGGAGTCGAAACAAATTGAGGGTAAGTATTTTCTGCGGTAGACTAGTTCCGTGACTTAATTCGCATTTTCTGGTTTCCAGATAACGGAGATTTATTTACGAAAGTTAGTAACTAATGTTTACAACTTCTACTTGATTGTGACAGTTTGCTGTATCTTTCTATTTTCTGTCTGTATAATTTTATTATTTATGCAATTAATTGTAACGGTATATAATTGAATTTTAATTGAATACAAGTATTTATTAATGCAAAAAAAATTTTAATTAAATTTTTCATTAGATGAAACACGTGCTTCATATCAAGTTTCTCAATAAGTAACATTAAACTTTAGTAAAAGAATTAATCCTGGTGGAAACCTATACCGTTAATCGTAAAGGTCGCTTAAAATTCTATGTTAAAGAAATGCTGTGCCACACAAAGTTTGAGGACCCCTGTTCCAATTTCGTCCGTGGTTTAGGTTTACAGGATTTGTCAAAGCTTTTTTTCAGCGAGAAAAATAGGTTGTCAATCTTTAAAAGAGTTATTGTGGCGAAAGATATGGCCAGAAGGGGTCAACCATCTGCCCTCAATGACGATCTTCTTATAACGGTGTTTGTCATGTTTCGTCCAGACGCTACAAGGGTGCGTCCTTGTAAACACTAAGTTTTCTGTATCATATTGTATTTTTTGGGCGCCCGCTCCTACTGGCGTGTATTAGCCATCTGTCCGACCGTGACCACCGGCAGATGCCATTGTATACCATACCCAAGACCAGCTAATAAATTTGTTTCCCTTTTTTTTCCTGCAGTAGGTCACTTTTCAATACTCTGATCTTTGCAATAATATGTTTGCGCATTTCTTTATATATTTATAACGGTGATAGTAATTCAAAATAAAGACTTTTTTTCATCATATTAACAATTCTATAATCTATATTCAGTTAACTTTTTAATGCTTTCCTGTTCTTGCATAAATTTCGTTAAAAATTCCTTCGCCTTGTATTAAAATTTTTAATTTTTTATTTAATAATAATTATTCTTTGAAATAGAATACGCGATGTATAATATGTTTCTTAAAATATAAAAGAATAAAATGAGAAAAAAAAACAAATGCAGCTTTAACAAATTTAACAGATGCAATTTTCAATTTAAGATTCTTCGCATGGACAATTGAAAAGTACCTTAGATTGAAGAAGAATCTTCTTCAATTAATAAGATTTAACATTTCTTCTTCTCAAGAACATTTGAGAAAACAAAATCGTGTTAATTAAAGAAATCTTCACACTCCTTTTTATTTCGTAAATTCGTTAGTCCTAGTAAAAGCTTTTTGAACCTGGAAACAGTTACTCCGGAATTCACTCGCGATGGCCATCTGTGGGTACGATGTCCTAGCGCGTAAGCCCTGCCAAGCAGGGTCTTGCTGAAAAGAATGGACAATCCAATTTAGAGAGTTGCTCCGATTTCAACTACGGACATCCGATCTGAGTCCCTCCACTGTAAACAGCCACCGGAAAGCCGTCTAATCTCCCCTTTCCTCCATTTTAACTGGGGCAGAAAATAACTATGTGGAACGGGATCCGCCTAATTCTCCAGATTTGTAGTGGCTTACCGATATATCGTAACTACAAAAAAAAAAAAAGGATGGCGCCGGGCTACAAACTTCTGTCCGTTCGTATCTCGTATCGGATCTACTACGTCAAAATTAGACATCGATCAAAGAGCACCTCATCGACCCGTGACCAGGCTTTGGGGAGGGAATATTTACACGGTTTGCACGTGTTAGCACTTAGTGTGAGGTCTTCTACACTACATTTCTGATAGGCGGTCGCTGTCACGATCATCGTGACCGTATCGTCAGCCGCGTTTTTTCAGTTGGCGCGTGGCGAACTGCTACTTCATTAAGTCGATTCTTTTTTTTTTTTTCTTTCTTTCAGGTGCCATCTTACGAATCGCCGATGGACGGAATTCGAAGCCAACATTTGCAGCTTTAAAATTTTTGCATCTGACAAATTGTCAGATGTCACTTGTGTCCCTGGCCATTTGTACTCGCTTTAAATTTTTTTTTTTAATATTATTAATTAAATTTAACGTTACTTATTTGTACGATTTTTGAAGTAATTAAATTTTTCTTCTTATTTTTATCGAGGAATTAAGTAATGTTATCTCAACCAAAGTATGTTATTTCGGTATATCGGCAACAGATGGCGTTGATGGTTTCATCTTTTCTCCTGTGTTTGAGAAGCAGCTACCTCCTACCTGTCTGATGCAACAGAAATTATTACAGCAAAGTTTCCGATGCTATGTTGTTTTAAAGTTTTTGTTTTTCTATAAACGCTTTCATCTGTTCGAGGAAAGCTCGACTTCGCACGTGCTCTATTTTGTTTGCATAGTTTCTATGAATGCAAATATTTTCTTGCTAATCCCTAATAGCTGTGCACTTTCATAAACGGTAGCTTGCATTCGGTTTCTACGTATGTTTACTTTCCCATTTCCTATCCATCACAATCACACATACACGTATTGTACTTTACATTCCATTTTCACTTCTACTTAAGCCGATGATCGGCTTAAATAGTAAAATTATAGATCACGATCGTCACTAGCAATTTATTAGTATTTCATGGTTACGTGTAATTGCTACGATTAACATTCTTCTCTGGTAAAGAGAATGTCTACTTTTCTATTTATTACATATTGAAGTCTTTAGTAATTTCGATTTGTTTATTGTACAGTAATGTTCGAAAACAGTTGTACAGATTAAGTAAAAAAAAAAATTGTTACAGATTTTTGAAAGTTGATTTGAACTTACTCATGGATTATGTTTATTCCGACGTAATTCTTAATTTTAAAAGTGATGTCATAATGACATCTGGAAATAATTTTGACGTCGTCACATCATTTAAGTAGACCTACTGCTACTTTTTCTTGTAATTAAGCCTCCATTTTGGGTATGAAAATATTTAATGGAAGTACAAAATAGATTACAATGATATTATTACAGATACAAAAGGGTGTTTCAAAGGAAACTGCGAATTAAAACCGAAAAAAAAAGGTAGTAAAAAGGGAAAGACATTATTATACGGAAGATCTTTTAATAGAAGATGAATTCCGTTTGTGTTTAATGTAATGTAATAACTTCTTGATGTCGAGAAGTCCGTTCCTGCGGTGAGCGACCATCTTGAGTGTCCTCCACCTGCACCATCTACCACTCCTACGGAGTGGTGTGGCCACGGGTGGCAGTCTTCTCATTGTTAAGGCCCGATCCTTGTTTGTAAACATGGTCACTTCAGTCTCTCGTTCCTTCTTTTTTATTGATTGCGCTTTTCTTTAATATTCTGATCCGTCATTTTCTGGGGAGGAACTGGACCCTTCATCCATCACCGTTGACGTTCCGGCCCAGTTGTTGACATCCGGTCGACATGTTTGTGGTTATGTCCAATCCTTTATCATCCGTGGTTCTGAAACCTTTATTCTTTATAAAAATTCCCATACTCATTCTGAGGAAATTGGTACATTTGAATCTTACGCTTACTCTAAACATCATTAAATTATATTTATTAAACGACTAGGATTCTAAAACATGTTATTAAATAATACTTTTTCCCTGAAGGAAATGCCATTATATAATATAATAATTCTCTGTTGACAGAAGAAAACAATCGTAACATTTAACAAAGAAGCGCAAATCTGAAGTAGACTACAGTATATCTAAAAAGACTATTGTCTAATAAAATCGTTTTTAATGTATACACATAACTTTATATAAGCATCTATTCATTCACTTAAGTGGAGTGAATGAATGGGATGCGAAGAAAGTGTAGATTATTCGCTCAGTATTCAAAATCATTTCAAAAATGTCACTTAATTTTCGAAAGAAATGGAATGACCGGTTCAGTTTTACAATATAAAAAAAAAGAATATATTTGTATAAATTTTGGTCTGGGAGATGTTTTTCTCTGCACAGGATTCAAATCTTAAAGGTATACTTTTGAAGTGTGCAGAATTTTGTATACCTAAACAGCTTCATGTACAGTACAAGTTTCAGTTCGTATACCAAGATTTACATTTTAATATTATTTATTGATAAAAGCAGTTGTCTGATTACCTAAAACTTAACATTATTTTTAGAAAAAAACACAATACACTTGATAGAAATAAGGACATCAGCAGTCATTCTAAATTTATACTTTTTGCCCTTAGAAAGTAATTTTCGAAAGCATTGCCAATTAATATAAATTTTTATTATATTATCATTCACCATTATTAATCAAACTATTCATAATTATAAATATCTAAATTATTTAGAGATTTTAAAAAAAATTCTACCATTAATACTACTATTTGTCGTTCATTTTATTAGAATATTTCTCATAAAAGCCTGTTAAATAATAATTATATCAAGTGATTAATATGGTGAGCTTATAATAAAATCATATTTTACATGTTTAAATTAATAATATATTTTCAAAAAATAATTAAAATTTTGCTACTTGAAAAAAAAAGGCAATTTTCTCTATCTTGTTTTTCGCATATTTGTTTTCCTGTTCTTACATTTAGAAAATTTGTTATTGACAGTAGAATAAGTGTAGCTGACCGAGAGAATAGAGCGATACCACTAGAACCAGGCATGGAAAGTGATAGATGATGGCTTCACATGATGAATTGACCTTAGCCAACACTTGAGTGACAAAATTTCTTCTAACGTTCTCAAAATTTTTAATTAAATGTTGTAAAAACAATAACTAGAAATCTAACCTTTAAATCAGTATGTGTAATATTTTTTTATTTATTTATTATTTTAAGTGTAAAAATTGGGAACTTTACTTTAACAAAAAATAGAATAGGAGGACTGTTTAGAATAGTAAATAACGAGAGCCGCTTATACGGAATAAATGAATTATTTCGAATAATGCGATTAGGCAGGTGTAAAACTAGGGAAGGTTTTTCAATAGTATCGGTAATAATAAAAAAAAAAAAAAAAAAAGACGATCTGAAGACAGTTTGTCTGAATGGTAGGGAAACGGAGGAAGCAGTTTGTGTTAGAGACGAAAGCACCTTTTACAGATCTCTCCTCCTATCAAAAGTTCTTTATTCCTAACTTAAAAAAAAGAGAGAGAGAGAGAGAGTTTGCTTGGATTTTAAATGGTTTTTACATAAGTTAAAATAGATTCATCATTTCTGATAGACGAAATTATCGTAGAGAAGAAAACTAGTTTGAAAGATGGCAATTTCTCTTTAGAAATTGCTGGTTTTCAAAACCTTTAACGTACGACTCAATAATAATTTTAAAATAGGTTTTATCCATTCGAAAAATTCGTTTAGAAGAATACTAATCTTTGTTTTCACCCTCCGTAAGAATATTTTTATTACAGGGTAAACATACCGACTATTGTAATCGATATAATTGTATCGTATCAATCTTTTCGAAACAGGATTTTAATTTATTATTGATTAGATAATTCTACAAAATCACAATTGAAAGTCAATTTTCTCGGTTGTGTAATGGTAGTAAATATATTCATTCGTACTTTCCTATAAATATAACATTGGGTTATATCGATTCGCACTGACAACTGGATGAATTGAATGCCGTATCGTTTATGCATCGCACAATATTTTCCTCATCAATTCTGCTGGAGGAAATACTGGTCTAGAATCGGAATATTGTAAGCTTAAAATTAAGAAAATTTTGCTGTTACTTAAGTACATTAAAGTTATTTATAATCCAGAGCTGCATTAAGTATGAGGTTTTAAACAATAAGCTTGATAAAATCAAACCTGTCAGTCGTTGTTTAGAAGTTTCAATGATTTTGTCGAGCTTACTTTTTAAACATGGCCGTTCTTGGAGGTTTAATTGTGTTTACAAAATAATTAAAACTAAGATTATTATGGGGCTTCTCGTTAAACACTAATAAAAAGTATTAAATAATGCTTTTAATCAGGTTAAGGTTGCATTTTAAATCGGTGTGAAATACAGTATAGCAAAATAAAAGTAGTCATAATTGAAAATTAATGTTAAAAAATATCTAATTGAATATGTAAGCTTTCCTGTA